TCCATCGCTCTGGAGCAGTTTCTCAAGAATGAGAGCAGATTGTCCAAGAATTCGACACTCAAGGCCGAGTACGAAGCTATCCTGCAAGAGTATCTCGACTTGGGTCATATGAGGCCAGTGTTCTCACATTGCAATCCTGCAATGAGTAACTTTTACTTGCCTCACCATGCGGTCTTTAAGCCCGACAGCACCACCACCAAAGTGAGGGTGGTGTTCAATGCATCGTGCCCATCTTCCAATGAGAAGAGTCTGAATGATATTCTTCATCCAGGCCCGGTCCTTCAGTCCGACCTCACGATGCAAATCCTCCAATGCACATTGGGCCAGCGCGCCGATTTTTCGACGAAAATTCAAATTTTTTATAGAAAGTAAACCTATTTTGAGAATAAAATTTTAGTAGTATATACTTTGACTAAAATGAATCAAAAGATTTTAATTGTTTTGATGCATCCCTGGCATTTTGGCAGCCCTTCAAAGTCAGTTGTTTGATTGCATGCGTGTGAAACTGAAAAGCGCGGGAAAGTTTTTGTTTACTTGCAAGCGTGCCAAAATTTTGTGGTTTGATCAATTTTTTACTAAAATTATGGAAAAGAAAGGCCAAGGTATGTAGAATATTTATATTAAAAAGATTTTGTCTATGTTTGCTAATCTGTTTTTTGTGTGCGTTTATTTGTGTTGTCCAAAAGTAGAAAAAAGCTAACCTGCTAGCCCGTCTGTTGTGGATTATAACTAATTTTGTGCCAAGTTGTGCCAAAAAGTAATTATGTGTCATGATAGTGCAAAGTGTATATAAACTAACTGTAAAAAGCTTTTTTGCTCCATTTTGTTCTAATTTGAATAAATCACTAATATTGTAGTTGTGGTTGAGTTCGCCTATAAGCAACTGCTTGATATCTACATGCAAAACAATCGTAGCGCATCTGCCGTTTCGAGTTGGATTTATTATGAACTCAAAGAATTCGATTTAAGCACGGAAAAAAAGGATGAAATCAACACCAAAGTGAGAAGCTTTCACCTTTACATTCAGAAGAACTTGGCAAAATGTAATAGAAGTATGGCCAGATTTAAGACAAAGCATACCGAGTGGCTTTTGTCCAATATGGCCATAACAGTAAGTTCATTGTTGTCTTCAAATCCAAAGCCGTTACCATCAAGACCAGTTGGACGCCCACCCATTGAATATGTTAACGCCGGTCCCCGTCAGAAGAGAAAATTGGCATCCGATTTAGCTGTACATCAGGGTCACAACACATCTCTTCTTGTGCATGCCGCCGCAGTTTCGGCCGAAAAATCGAACGAGGGAAGATACAGCCCTTGTGCTAAAAAATATATATCTTACTCCGAGTGACCACAATAAGGTTAGAAAAAATCTTTTACGCAGAAAACTGACTCGGTTCGACTAACGGAAGATGAAGCCTTAGCATATCTGCTTGAAAATTCATTAAGTAAAAGTCAATACAACAACTTTCGCGAGCTCAGCATTTCCCGATCTTGTGAACTTTTTCCTGCTTACAACAAAGTGAGAGAAGCTAAGTCAAAATGTAGACCTTTTGATATTAATGTAACCGAGTCAGTTGCTAAAGTCCCGCTGCAAAGTGTTCTAGACCACACTAGTTGCCGTATAATTCAAATGCAAGAAGATTTATTTAAGCAGCTTGGCAATACTTTAAGTCTGACCCTTATTGCAAGCTATGGATTTGATGGAACAACCGGACAAAGCAGCTATAAGCAACACTTTTTTGGATGTGATTCACTCCTTACTGACGACTCGCTTTTTGCGACAACAATAATCCCCCTTAAATTAATGGACCATATTGGAAATGTATTTTGGATGAATCGTACTCCTCAGTCGATTAGATTTTGTAGACCAGTCAAGCTTGAGTTTGTTAAAGAGACAAAAGACCATATTCTTGCTGAGAAAAAAAAATTTGGATAATCAAATAGATAATTTGTCTGCATACGTCTGCACCGTTGTAAATGGAAAATCAATTTCAGTTAAATATGATCTCCAAATGACACTTTTAGATGGAAAGGTTTTAAACATTTTGACTGAAACCAAATCTTGCCAATTGTGTCCGATATGTGGAGCGAGTCCAAAAGACTTCATGAAAAATGCTGAAATGGACTCACCAAAATTTAAGCCAAGACATGAAGCATTAAAATATGGCATAAGTCCTCTACATGGTTGGATTCGATTTTTTGAATTCGTTCTCAAAATTGCATATAGACTGAAACTTAAAAAATGGCAAGTGAGAGATGAAAATGGAAAAAAAGAAATGGCGAAACAAAAAATACGATTCAGAAGAAGATGTGGAATGCTATGGCTCTACATGTGGATAAGCCTAAGCAGAATGGCAATGGAAATACAAACGACGGCAACACAGCAAGGAGGGCGTTTGCAAAACCTAAGCTACTAGCTGAAATTTTAGGTCTTGATGAAAATCTTATTGCATATTTTAACAGTATCTTGATTGCTATTTCTTGCCACCTACCAATTGATCCAACACAATTTAAAAAGTATTGTCAGAAAACCGTAACACTATATATGTCCTTGTATCCATGGTTTCCAATGTCGGCAACAGTCCATAAAGTGTTAATGCACGGCTACCAAATAATAGAAGCATCAATCCTTCCATTAGGTGTTCTTGGCGAGAACGCCTCAGAGGCTCGCAACAAATATTATAAGAGTGACAGGAGGCTACATGCTCGAAAGAGTACTCGGCAAAAAAACATGGAAGACGTTTTCCACAGAGCAATGGATTCCTCAGATCCTCTTGTGTCGAGCATCTACCTAGCAAAAAGATTGGGCCAGCAAAATAAACTACCCCTACCAGCAGACGTAATCGAACTTTTGGAATCACCAAACTTCCTATATCCTTGTAACATGGACAATAATAACAATGCTCCCGTTTTTGATGCTAACAATAGTGATTCAGATTCTGACTCTGAAAATCCGTTTACAATAGAAATTGATGTAGAAGACGACTTTTAGGAACATTTTTAAATGTAAAATTGTTATTTTTAATGCATTTTTATTTTTTATTTATTAATATTAAAGTTAAGTGTTAAATAAATGAATTAAAAACATTTGTTGAATTTAACGACTGCTAGCATCATTAATTACCGTAAAAGTATCAACTAGAGGAAACCTATCTCATATGGGCGGCTATGGAAGGCGTGGTCAGATCGGTTTGAAACTTAGATATATTTTTATGTGCATCGACACTATCATATGTACCAAATTTCAAGAACCTAGCTTGAAAACTTTAATTTTCGTCGAAAAATCGGCTCGCTGGCCCAATGTGCAATGGCGATACTATCGATACGTGTTTAATGCCGACATCACTAAAATGTATCGCCAAATTCGTGTTGATCCAAAACACACCCCAACGGATCCTTTTCCGTAAGCCAGACGGCAACATCGGGGACTTCGAACTAAGCACCGTCACCTTTGGAGTAAACTGTGCTCCTTTCCTGGCTTTGAGAGTGCTCAAACAACTCGCAAATGACGTGAGATCTCGTTTGCCTCTCGCCAGCAAAGTCATTTCCGAGTGCATGTACGTCGATGACGTACTTGCAGGAGCACACTCCAAAGAAGAGGTGATCGCAACTATCGCCGAACTCACAGAAGCTCTGCAGAGTGCGGGGTTTCCCTTAAGGAAGTGGACATCCAATTCCATGGATTGTTTGAAGGCTATCCCAAAGAGTCATCGGCTGTGCGAGGACTTCATAGAGCTTGAAGATTCCAGCACAGCAAAGACCCTAGGCCTACGTTGGCAAGCGCAAGCCGATCTTTTCTTTTTTTCGCCCCCTGACATTCCTCTCCAGCAGTCCTACACAAAAAGGTCGGTCCTTTCCCAGATCGCCAAGTTGTTCGACCCTGCAGGGTGGCTGGCACCCTTTGTCATCCGTGCAAAAATCTTTATGCAAGCGCTCTGGCTACGCGGTTTAGATTGGGACCAACCTCTGCCTGGTGATCTCCTCACCCAATAGCGAGAGTTTATCCTCAGCTTCTCCAGCCTTCGGGATATTCGTGTGCCTCGATGGGTACACTTCCAGCCTCGAGCTACTTTCCAATTTCATGGGTTTTGTGACGCATCTGAGCGTGCTTACGGAGCGGCTGTCTATCTCCGTGTAGAACTTGGCAACCAGATCTTCGTCAATCTGCTCTCCGCCAAAACGAGAGTCGCTCCGATCAAATCCCTTTCCATACCCCGCTTGGAGCTTTGCGGTGCTGTCCTTCTGACCGACTTATGCTCAGTACTGCTGCCGGCATCCCCTGCAGTCAGTTTTCAGTCCTTTTATTGGACTGATTCGACTATTGTCCTAGCCTGGCTAAACAAGCCTGCGTGCAATTGGACAACCTTCGTCGCAAATCGGATCAGTAAGATAATTGAGCTCACCAATCCTGGTGACTGGCATCATGTCAGCTCAGAACATAATCCCGCGGACCTAGCTAGCAGAGGAGCTTCTCTCAAATCCGCTATGGTTCCATGGGCCAGATTGGCTTCGACTTTCCCAGTCTCACTGGCCACTCGTTCCCGCTCTTAGCTTGGAGACTGCTCTGGAGCAAAAAGCAGCTAAAAGTCATGCTGCCACCTTGACTCCTTCAACTGAGTTCATAACCAGATTTTCCGAACTTCATCGAGCCCTCCGTGTCACCGCTTGGATGTTTCGTTTCATCAATCGGTGTAGGAGATCCGCCCCACCTCCATCGCAAGAGCTCAGTGCTGATGAATTGCACTTTATCCAGGCCAGGTTCATCTCCTTGTGCCAAAAGCGAGTCTACGCAAAAGAGATCAGTTGTTTACGTGCACAGCAAAAACTTCCGGCCTCAAGTCCACTCCGAAATCTTAATCCTTTCCTGGATAATAAAGGTATCCTAAGAGCATGCGGACGCATAAGGACATTCGCTTCCTTAAGCTACGACGAACGCCATCAAATCGGTGATAAACTCATGCAAGTCCTGCGTTGTTTATCGTAAGCGTCTCCAAACGCAAATGATGGGCGACCTGCCAGCTGATCGCACAACCTTCACCAGGCCCTTCACCGTCGTAGGCGTCGACTTTGCAGGCCCCTTCGATGTGAAGAATTACGCCGGACGTGCCTGCCGCATTACAAAGGGGTACGTCTGCGTGTTTGTGTGCTTTAGCACCAAGGCTATCCATCTCGAGGCCACGTCCGACTTAACCACCGAAAAATTCTTAGCGGCGTTCTCCCGCTTGGTGGCTCGGCGTGGATGTCCGCAGAAGATTTACTCCGACAACGGGAAAACGTTTGTCGGAGCCACAAAGACTTTATCGCGAGACTTTGTGGAATCACTCCGATCCGAGGTGCTTGCAAAGCACTCTCTCCATAGCCTATCCTGGCATTTCAATCCACCGAGCGCACCACATATGGGCGGCTTGTGGGAAGCAGGGGTGAAGAGTTTCAAGGCCCTGTTCTATAAATCCACTGCCACGACGAAATATACTTTCGAGGAGCTTTCGACCCTCTTGGCAAGAATAGAAGGCTGCCTCAACTCGAGACCGATAGCACTCATGTCCGAGGATTCCACCGATCTACAAGCCCTTACTCCAGGACACATCCTAGTCGGTGGCCCTCTTATAACCATTACTGAGCCCAGAATTACGCAAGATGCGATGTCTATCCTGAATCGCTGGCAGCGACTTAAGGCTCTTCACCAACAATTTTGTTTTCGTTGGAAAGAAGAGTATCTTAAGGAGCTGCACAAACGTAATAAATGGCACTTCGCACAACGTGACTTGAAGGTCGGCGACATGGTCATCGTGAAAGACGACAATGTCGCCATCAACGAGTGGCGGCTCGGCCGTGTCCACCTCACGCACCCAGGAGATGATGGGAAGGTCCGAGTGGCGGACATTCTCACCTCCCGGGGCATCGTCCGTAGACCCGTCCATAAGTTAGTCATCCTACCAACGGACGATAATACCCCTGTGATGTCCAACTAACCCTGTATGTGCATCTAATTCCATCGCTTACCACCCGGCACATCTTTCCTTTTCAGCTATGACATCAGCTGTTCAATCCGTGGAGACACCTGGCATCAACTCCTTCCGATGCCGCGTGTGTAGAGAGACGTTCTGCGGAAGTGCAGGCGTTTCCTGGGCCTTCCGGCCGAAAAACGTATTCGCGCAGTGCTTATCAACAAATACTGCGCGAATTGTCTGGCACACCAGCACTCCGGGCAATCCTGCCGCAGCAAGGCCAAGTGCAAGACGTGTGGCCAGAGCCATCACACTCTGCTGCATCTGCCCGGAGCTCGTCGCCGACAGCGACGTCGTCCCGCTGCAGCTCCTATCAGCGGGCCCACCTCCTCCGCCCTCGCCGGTACACCTGCACTACTAAAAGGATCCCGCACAGGACGACGCCACCAGGCAGCATCCACCACCACGAGGGAAGTTACGCCGCCGCTGAGCACGCTGATGCAGCACAAGGCCGTTAGCATCCTGCCCACGGCAATTATCATCCTGCAAACGGGTGCTAAGGATTTCGATGTGAGGGCGTTGATCGATCCGTGTAGCCCTACTTCTCGGATCAATGCTTCATTGGCAAGGGCCATGGGTCTTTCCGCCACTAGCGTGGGTCCGGGAGAGGTTTGCACAGCGACCATCTGTTCGAAAACATCTGATTTCAATATTGATGCTATCCTGCAATTAGACCCGCAGCTCAATTGCCGGACGAGCACGCAGCCAATCCGGCTGGGATTGCGCTCGCCGACGGCAATTGGGCTCAACCCAGTACGGTGTCTGTTGTGCTGGGGGCTGACGTGTATCCTCACGTCATCCTTCCAGGAATCGTCCCCAGCACTGACGGTCGTCCCATGGCCCACAACACCGTCTTCGGGTGGGTCCTTTCAGGTTCCTGCCTGTAACCCTACACCGATATATTGCAATCCTTGCAAGGGGGGGAGTATGTTAATGCCAGATCCCATTAACAGGATTGCTCCTCCCCCACAGATCCTGATTATGCTATTAACAGCTTCTGTAAATAGCATAACTGCCTGCTCTCAGTGCTTGGCCCTCCGCCAAGTACTATTACTTTTTACTTTTACTTTTAATTGTGAATGTGAATATACAACATCGCCATTTTTGGAGCGGCACCATTTTCTACATTAAAATAAATAATTTTAAAAATCAAACCCACGTTTCCTCACTTATCACGACTCCACACTACAACAGTAAGTATTATTTAATTCATTGCCGATTTAATTACAAAATTTAATCTTCACATTTGTTCCCTAGATGCAATAAATCTGGTTGATGGCAATGGATCGGCAGAAGAGCAACTGAGAAAGGCCATGCAGCTGCAGAAAAAGCGTTTTTTTTTTAAGTTCATGCGTCAACAAAAAAAAAACTGAAAATGAAATTATATAAATTAATGTACTATAGAAAAATATAATATAGAAAAAAAAATATTTTAAAATAAAAAATAAAAAATGATAAATATTTTTAATTTTTTCATTCTTTTACCACCCATTTCATGGCTACCCATGTAACTAGCCCTTTTATGGTGACCCAATTCACTAGTTCGCGGTAAACGATGTGGTGGCGATTGACCTTTTTTGCGGACATTTCATACAAAAATCGAAATGATGAAATGCATTGTAAGTAAGTAATGGTGGTACCCTAGTAAGTAGTGATTTCACCAGCTACGAACCAGTTACAAGTACTAGAGGGATATTATGCTTTTCGTTCATCGATTTCATCGTGAGGCAGTGAGCGTAATAGTCGTTAAAGATGAAATGCTTTCAGTGAACCGAGTTCAAAATGCGGCATGCTAGATTTGAGTTACTTTAATTTGAGTTAACATACGGTGCGGATGCATTGCCGACAACGCCTTTTCTTTACATGCACACTCATTTATACACAAACAAAACAATCGGAATTAAGATCTGTTTTCACAATAGCTTGTTTGTTTTCGATAACCTTTTATATCTTTATTGAAGTACATGTGATTTTAAGAATATAGGTCCGCTTATGGAATCTTAAGTATTTAGCTAAGATTGGATACCTTGCCGAAGATGGATACTCTACATTTTGTAAATTATGTGACAATAAATTTATAATCGGGTTTCACTGTCGATAAGAAAAGTTGGTCGATGTGGTACATTCATGTTGTAATAAGTATATTACTTCATTGATGAATATTGCTTCGCCAATTTGACATCGGATGTTAGATGCAATAGCCCAGTCTGTATTCCGTATGTGTTTGTACCAGAACTTAAAAAAATATAGAAATGACTTTCTCTTCATTTATATTAACCAAAACAATTCATTATACTCACCGCAGAGTAATGCGGCTGAACGTGTCAACCGTTTTTTTTCAACCGAGGTTTTTAGAAGAAACTTTAGTCTCAGTAAATTTTCGCAAAATTTTAATGCAAAGTTAGCACCGCAATTCGTTAAATGCCGAATTAAAAAGAGGCTTGGCAATAGCTTCTATATTTTGGAAAATTTACAAGGCACAGAAGTTGGAACTTAGCATGCAAAAGATATTCGTATTTGATTCCCGCTAATCTTCTAACTATCGTATCAGATTATCGTGTATGTAATGGTCATAGAAATGTATATAATGATAATTGCAGTGCATACCATTTGCGACAAATTTATCGCCTGCACTGCAATGCCAGCTGAGCTTTCAAAAGCTAACCTTTCAAGATCGAGCTTCTGAAAAGCCCTAAAAGCTTTGAGACACAGCTGGTAAATTGCACCTAGCTTCGCTTCGTACTTTCCAAGAAGAGAAAGAGAGAAGCTGGAATGGGGCCCTATAAAAAGAGCCACATGGATCTTTTTCATTCTTTTTCCGGCCATACCACGAGATCACAATTTGTCAAAAATTTGCTTAAAGAAAATTTTTTTTGTGCTGAAAAATTAAAAGTTTTTAATTATATAAACTTATATAATTAAACAAAAGAAAATTAAAATAAATCCCACTATTATCACCAAAAAGTGCAAACGATCGTGGATTCGTTTGTTTTCGGGAATTTGCAGCGCGCAGCTGGCGCAAATATATATCTATAGATATATATACATATGTATATAAAAAGGTATGTTAGAAAGAAAAAAAAAACAAGTAAGAACGTTGCAGTCGGGCGTTACCGACTGCGGAATACTCATTCACATCCCATCAACAATTTAGTAGTTAAGTTTCGCTCTAATACTGTAGAATATACAGGTTTTTCCGATTTGCCACGCCCCAACTGGGCGTAGACACCTCATTTTTGGTCAGTTTTTAGAAAGAGATAGCGGTACCCTAACTCCAAAATTTAAATGCTTAACCTCAAAAAATGTGAAAATGACAGGGTATTTTCCGATATGCCACGCCCCTAAAGAGGCGTAAAAATTATATTTGGGGAATCCATAGAGAAGGCTACCAGTAACTCAACTATCCAAATTTGAAGCTTCTAGCTATTATACTTTAGGAGATATAAAGTTTTGTGGTTTGCCACGCCCCCTGTGGGCGGACATATATCCGACAAAACTTTTTGGTCTTGGGTGATCAGTCCGAGTATATATACAAAATTTGAGATCTCTGCCATCAATAGTGTCCAAAATATAGCAGAATTTAAAAAATCACTATATCTTCAGGTCTGATTTGCCACGCCCCCAATGGGCGAAAACTTATAATTTTTATAATCATAACATTAATTTATAGAATCATAACATTAGCTGACGTGCAAAATTTCAGCATTCTAGGTTTACAACTTTAGGAGATACAGTTTTATCCGATTTGCCACGTCCCCAATGGGCGTAGATATATCCGCCATAGCTCGTGATCTTGGGTGGTCAACGCGGACCTACATACCAAATTTCAGTTTTCTAGCTCCTTAACTAACATGATTTCTGGTATATCGGAAAATGAATTTTCCGATTTGCCACGCCCCTAGTGGGCGGATCGGGAAAATTTTAACACTTTATAAATCGGAGATATACACGAGTATGTGTTCCAAATGTCAAGTCTCTAGCTTCAATAGCGCCGAAATAGATTGCGTTCATACGGACAGACGGACGGACGGACAGACGGACGGACAGCAAGACGGACATTGCACAAAACCAATATACTGATTCACTTTCGTGAATGATTATAAAAATGGGAATATTGAAAATAACATTGCGAATAGAGGCCGAACATCAGCAATAACACCGCGCGACAAAAGACAACTGGCCAAAATTGTTAAGGCTGATCGTCGCCAATCTTTAAGAAATTTGGCTTCTGAGTGGTCGCAGACAATTGGCAAAACTGTCCACCGAGAGTGGACTCGACTGCAATTAAAAAGTATTGGATATGGTTTTTATAAAGTATGTTTTGTTATTAGCTGTGCATCGTACCCAATAACTTACTCGTAATCTTCCTCGTAGGCCAAGGATAAACCCTTGCTTACGCTTCGTCACAAAAACAAGCGTTTGCAATGGGCTCGGGAAAGGATGTCTTGGACTCAAAGGCAATGGGATACCATCATATTCAGCGATGAAGCTAAATTTGATGTTAGTGTCGGCGATACGAGAAAACGCGTCATCCGTAAAAAGTCAGAAACATATCATAAAGACTGCCTTAAAAGAACAACAAAGTTTCCTGCGAGCACTATGGTATGGGGATGTATGTCTGCCAAGGGATTAGGAAGACTTCATTTCATTGAAGGGACACTCAATGCTGAAAAATATATTAATAATATTGGTATATTAATAATATTGGTATTGTTGCCATCAATACCAAAACTATCAGATTGCGGTGAATTCACTTTTCAGCAGGACGGAGCATCATCGCACACAGCTAAGGGAACCAGAAATTGGCTGCAATATAATCAAATGGAGGTTTTAGATTGGCCAGCAAATAGTCCAGATCTAAGCCCAATTGAAACTATTTGGTGGCTAATGAAAAACCAGCTTCGAAATGAGCCACAACGGAATATTGCTGACTCGAAAATCAAGTTGCAAGAGATGTAGGACTC